TTAAGTTCCACTTCTCTAACAATGGTGTACACTGTAGATGGAAGGACATTTAAAAAGAAATTTTCCAGGTCTTCCCTATAATTGGTAATTTGCTTCTTTTTTCCCCCTTTCTGTTATAAGTTTAGCTCCCCCTTGTGGTCCATGAAGTAAAATTGTAATTGCTACAGAAAATAATTACTGCATGTTTAGTTTCAGTTGGATCAATTTTTTTAAAATGGTAAGATTAATTAATAGGCACAAAATAACAATAGCCTGTAAATTAATAATGTGAACATATAATTACCATAATACATATACATACTTGTGTCCCACGTCCCACGCTCCAACGAGTATGTGGGCCCGCCCACCCCTGCTCTGTCCTGTGCTTTATTTCGTTTTTTAAGAGCACAGCTGATTCGCGCAGCAGAGAGGTTTGCTGCACCTCAGCTGTTTTATCCACAGGGGCTGCAGTTGAAGGTAAGTATTAGAGCTGAAAATGGGCTTTTTTAAACGCGGAGTGTGCATGTGCACGTGCAAAGAGCACACTCACCGAACCAGTTGTTACACTGGTTGAATTGCACCACTACCTGGGGCCCATAATTGCTGTTAAGATGGCCCTGATTATACTCTATTTTATTGGATCTCATTTCAAATATAGTACTGTGATCCAGTTCTAGAACCACTTTAACTGTAGTTCAGACTGTAGAATAACAGCAAGTTCAGAGGAAGATGTGAAAAATCTGGAAGTCGTCTTATGAGGGAAGGACAGAGAAAAGACAAATAAGTGGAGATATGCTAACTCTTTTCAAATACCTAAAGGACATAATATAAAAAGCAATCGTTTTTCTCTGTTGCCCCTGAGAGCACTAATAGAACCAAGGGAAGGAAGGAACTTTAGGCTAAAATCAAGAGGAACTTCCTGATTATATGAGCATTAGCCAGTGGAAAAGGCTGCCATATCACTGATACAGTACATTCTCCTTTGCTAGCGGTCTAGCAAAGATTAAACAGAAGATAATCAAGTTCATTTTCCAATGATTAGAAGGGCTGAATGGGCATCAGTTAGAAACACTCTAATGGATCCTAAACTGAGCAAGCATTTATATTCTGCAGGTGTCTCATAACTATAAAAGGAAATTTATCACAGTTTTTCAAGTAGTAATAACAAAAAGTGCTTAATTTAAAAAACTTATTAAAAACACAAATACAATGTTGAAGTTCTCAAACTGCTAAGTGAAACCAACCAGAAAAGACATAACAAAATATATTTTTATTCTCCATCAAAAAGCAAAAGGAGAATGAAGATGATCTGATCTGATTCATGCAAGGATCCATTCACTGTTTTGTGTGAGCAGGAGCTTATCAGCACTTTAGAGGGATTTACAGAATTACAGAGTAAGTGTTGAAAGGGACCGTGGAGGTCTTCTAGTCCAACCCTCTGCTTAAGCAGGAGATCCTAACAAATGGTTGCTCAATCTCTTCTTAAAACCCCCCTGAGATGGAACACCCACAAGTTCCAGAGGTAAGCCATTCCATTAATTAATTGTTTTCACTGACAGGAAATGTCCTCCTAATTCTAGGTTGGATCTCTCTCAAGAGCTTCCATCTATTACTACGGTACTTGTCCTGCCCTCAGGTATTTTGGAGAATAGGCTGACTCCCTCACCTCTGTGGCAAATCTACTGAATGATGAAGTGAATAATATACAGAAGTGGCCAACAGCCAACTTGCAATCTTCCAAGTATTTGTACAATTCCCCCATCCTCTTTTCACAGGAATGCTCATTCAAATTTACAAATGTTGCAGCTATAATTGCAATGTCCTGAAAGATCCTGCAAGGCCCAGCCAGTATAAAATTCCCTCAATGTCAAATAGAATTAATCTGATGCTCAGGCTTTTATACTGAGCATATTCTATTATTTCTTGTTTTTCCAAGTAATCTAGTCGGTTTCAGTGGTTATAGAATACATGTAGTCTTTGACTTAGGATCATAGTGGAGCCCAGAATTTCTGTCAT